AGGCAGCTTGAGATATGTTGATGGTGTTCACATTGCACACAGATACATCAACACACTACAAACACTATTTGCTTCGTTTCCTTGGCCGTGGGTAAAAGACTTCCACTCTTCCTGCTTGATCCGGATCTATTCGCCGTTCAAGGGAGTTCCACTGCGCCGACGGGAAGCTGGAAAAATCCTCGTGCTCCTCCAGCGCTAGTCCTCTGATTCCGGCTGCAGTTTTTCACCCGGTGGTGCTACTGCTGCGAGTGCTTCCTTCCTGCTGCCGGCTAACCAGCGGAACGCGTTTTGTACCCTTCGTTCGCGTTCGGCCCAAATTCGGAATTTCACCATTTCAACACTCGGTAAACCGCGCATCCGACCCGTTGCCACTGCAAGTCCGTAGTTGAAAATCATTCGAGTCAAAATGTAGAAACGAAAGAAGAAATGAACCCGAGTCAAGCCAAAACAAACAGCATGAAAACTGATCGAAAGTGATTATGTTGATGTTGACGGGGATCTGCTCGAAGAGAAGACAGAATGACTTTCAATTGAAAGTGATGGTTGACAGCTTCATCGTTGCTTGACGATTTTCGATTGAAAGTGACTTTGTGGGACCCTGGTTATAATGCTACCAAATGTTATGTATATATCGGTAACTGGTATTGCATGCCACTGCTAACATTGTTAAACAAAACTAAATTGGAAAAATAATAAAAATAGCAAAACAAAATAAAAACATAACGAAAACGACCGAGTACATTAGTACTTCATATCATGATTAATCAAACAACGTTAATTTTAGCTGCCGGACACTGCCATTTTCAGAGAAATTTAAACTGCAAAATTGAAAAAAAAAATGCTTTAAAATCACTTGACAAAGCAATTGATGTGGGTAGCCCTACTTTTGCTCAATGAAACAGATGAGATTATCCTTAATAAGTTAAAAAATCTCCTTGAAATAGATCGGGTTGCTCCTTAAATGATTGATCAAAAAAAGGAAAAAAATTTAAAATGCTTAGTAAATATTTAAAGTACGCTCCCTAAAATGGAGAAAACTGTACATTAAGCATTTGAAAATGCTCCTTAGTATGCACCGCTTTGCACCATTTTGAAGTGTAATTGTACCATATAGGGGAAATGTTTCTAATGTTGGCCTATGGATCTAAGCTTGGGCCAACGCTAAAAATCTGCTATTTATCAATTTTATCTAGATGAACGCGTTATTGGGACGTTACTTATGGATATTTTTGGTTGCTATTGAAAATTTAGTCCATTGCTGAATTTATGTATGGGTCCAAATTAGGGACATTTAGGCCGATATTACCTGCATTTCCCCTATCATCGTAAAAGCTGCTGTAGAAAGGTTAATAAGTACCATGAAATCAGCTGAAATGTTCAGTAAAAATGCACAAATGCACACAATGATTTACTGAATATTTCAGCTGTTTTCATGGTTGTACTTATTAACCTTTCTACAGCAGCTTTTCCGATGAAATATGGTACAATTACACTTCAAAATGGTGCAAAGCGGTGCATACTAAGGAGCATTTTCAAATGCTGAATGTACAGTTTTCTCTATTTTAGGGAGCGTACTTTAAATATTTACTGAGCATTTTACGATTTTTAACGTATTTTGATCAATCATTTAAGGAGCAACCCGATCTATTTTAAGGAGATTTTTTTTACTTATTAAGGAACATGGTCATTGTTTAATGATTCATTTACCTTTTAACCACAGACAAACAGACATAACACTAGCAAGTTGTTAATCGAACAAGCATTTAACGGTCAATTTAAAAGTATCGTAGTTGGTAGTACCGCCACCTGTGGCGCGCATAGTCAGTTCCCTTGCGTTTGACGTTTATACACTATCGCCATCTGTTCAGCGTACTACCCACCACAGTGTACTCAACAGATGGCGGTAATGTTTTAGCGACGATGTTTTACAGTGAGAAATATTCAATGTGTTATGTCTGTTTGTCTGTGTTTTAACCATTGATGTGATTTACAATAATGTGTATTTTTGTGCATGTTAAAAAATTCAAATTACTGATTTAACGGTAAATCAAATTATATCTCGCTAGACTTATGACGCAGAAGCTTAGTGTTTTCAGCAAAGATTCATGAAATCTATAGATCTACAAAGTTGCCGAAGACATAAACATATCTTGGGATGTCTAAAAGTTATTTTTTCTATGTGTACTGTTTTTTTTTTTATATCTTTATTAAGGAGACTTTCAGCCCTGGGCTGGTTCGTCTCCTATGTGTACTACTATTGTGTGTACTATTTATGGATATTTCAGAAGATGCAGATTCACATTTCAAGAAACTTTTTCCAAGACACCTAAACGCTAAAACACCGAGAACAGCGAAAAAATGGTTTAGACCACCTTTTTCCAGAATGTGCATTGTTTTGAATTTTAGTTGCTCTTTATTTGGTAGTGAATCCTAGTTTCTCCTTTTGCAATCCTTTTTCTCACACAGAAGTTGAAAGAGTGTGCAAAGTAAGCAACTGATACATACTTGTTTGTCCAAACTAATTCAAATTAATATCACCCCGTTCTGCAAGGGGTTCAGCAAAACCATATCGTTACCAGCAGCAACCCAAGATCGGACCGTTCCCTTCCCTCTCGATAACTGCCTACAGCTACCCTTGGCACCGTGATATTCGTTACAAAACTAACTTCGAACTTCCAAGTTCGAACGGCAGCGTTGGGAAATCAAGCTCATACAGCACCACACTAAGACCAACTACCTACCACTGCTGTGCACGGGGGTTTCGTTTAGGCTAGCAATTTAGCGCATACTTATCTCATTATGGCCATTAAAAATAATAAAAGAAAATCACCTGTTCTAGGCAACCATTCACACTAGCTCTACAGCAGCAGCAGCAGCAAGGCGTGCTGGACCCTTTCCTGTGCAGCCCTAGACCCACCACCATCGCACGCTATCAATCTGGGAATTGTTCTGTTGGGACACGGCAGCCCGCACAGAGGGGAAAATTTTCACATTTGCACCGTGTGATTATGTCTTATTTCTATTTTCTTTGGTAATAATTTGATTGGCTCGGAAGGCGCAATAATCGCGCGCGCTCCGCCAGTAAGTCAGTGGGCTGACTGACCACGACCCACGAGCCCCGGTGCCACGGGGGTCCAATCATGAGTTCCTATGCTATGCTCATATCTTAGTCAGCGAATCTCTGGCAGGTTCTATGTACGGTCTGATACGAACGGTTGTTCAGGTTGTGCGAGGCCATCCGAACCGTGAATTGTTTTCTCTGTGGGTTCTCGCAGTGCAAATTGGTTGTAAGTAACTGGAATTACAGAAAATCCATAAGTGGATGATCGCGCCCGAACCCAGCATCTAGGCGGAGGAAGTGGAACATTATCGCAGAGCAGAGTTAGAATTGTGGCCAACGATTGATTCTAACTGATTTCCATAAAGACCTGTGCCCGATAGTGCTCGGCTGGTTGAGGCATAGTTCTTCCTTCGCCCAAGCATCGAAGAAGCGGATGGAACTATCTGGGTCAAATGCCGTAGAAGGCGTGATTACATAAATACTGCGCTCCAACCGATCATTATAACCCTACACCACCCGCAAAGCCAGCCAGTGATCTCTCGGCTTTCGAAACAGTACCCGATTGATACACAAATAAACAGTTTTGTTTGATCACCGGATCAGATCGAGCGTTATTTTTTTCCTTCTCGTAAATTTTGGAATAGGAGGTCTGATTTTTTTCAGGCCACAGAGATCATAGGGTTGCATCATCATATTGGCAGCAGCCCTTCCTCATCCACGTCCAAGAATCGAAACAATCGTAAACGACACCGAAATGGCTCCCCAAAAACCAATCCTCGAGAGAAGGCGTACAAAGCATTGGTTATGACATTGCCAGTCAAAATCAATCCGTACCATTGAATGCTGAACAACTTCACATCGCTGCACAGTGATCGAGACAGGATTAAATTGACCAAAACGTGCATCTACTACACCAGAGCATCATGCTCCACGCCAAAGGACCACTGTGGGATCCATACTAATGACGAAGTGTACACAGTTGTACTCCATTGCCCAATTCGTACATATTTTTGCCCAGAAAGCAACCTCTCCAACATCAATCGTGGTTGGTCGGGATGGGCCGCCGCCGCTTGTCAAACCAAATTATGCACGGTTGTTCAGCGAGAAGCAATCCCGCCGGTCTACGCGTAGTAGAATTCGGTTCGGATCTTTCTCCCTTTCAATCACCCACACGGATGCATGCCCGGCAGCAGCAGCCACGGCACCCGCCTAACCAGATCGTAATTATGCCTCTAAACAATCAATTTTATTCAATTAACTTGACGGCACACACCGCAGCAAACGCTTCTGCCGTTCGTGGGTCGTCGTTTGGGGCATTGATTGGGGATTCGTGGAGTTCAAAAGTTGAATAGATCACATACCACGCCGATGCCGACGCCGCTGTCGCGATCCGGTGCGTCTGTGCTGCATTCTGTTCACCGCACCACACACCGCACAGGTAACCCTATAATTAAGCTGAACCGAAAAGGCTCGATTCGAACATCGGTGCTTTGGTGGATGGTGATGTTGTTGTTGTTGTTATTAGGGGGTGAAGCAATCCATAAAGTGTCGAAGAAGAAACTAGAAGGAACTCGCTGCGCTCAGCTCGAATGAATGGCCACGAAGGTGATTGTTTTGGTTTAGGTTGCAATTTTTGAACACGACGCTGGATCAAAACATTGATTGATACGAGGGTGGCCGATGATGAAATTGAAACTGACAGGGGGTAATCTTTCGGGTATGATTATCGCTCGGTTTGACATCTCATGCTCCATCGGTGAAAAGCGATAGGCTCGGATAGTAAGTGGGTCACAGCAAGCTTGAGCACATGTGCTTTGAACGTTAGACAAAGTGTTACATGTGCCAATTATTGGGTAAACCGATCCTCACCGAACCCTCCGGCTTGGATTGAAATAATACAATTAAATTTGTTGGTATTAAAAAATCGTTTACAACCCCCGTACATGATGTGCCTCATGAATATGATACGTACCACTATATGCCTACACTTAATACTTGGTTACTAATTGAGAACTTTCTAGGACTGTATCATTTTTGAACTAGTTTATTGTTTGATAAACACAGTGATGGTCTATAACAAATTATTTTATATTCCGAAGAACAGTAATCAAGTTTTTAATCCGTGGCGTTTGTTCCACTGAGACTGACACCGACTACATAATAGGAAGGTTGATTTTCGTAAACCAAAGTTAAACATTGTTTACATCTGTCAGGTTTGTAAAAAATTAAATGTTGTTTGTTGTTGCTTGCACAAAATAATGACTAACTACTATTGTTTGTATTCATATTCTTTTCAGATGATATTCCATCCTAAGCAGCTGTAGGACACTGCTTTCCATCGATTTCCATCACTTGGGATTGAACGGATGGTTTACTGTATGCTTGCTTCTTTTTCAAATTATAGCCATACTGTTGCGATCTTATTTCACGGTAGTCAAATGCCTCCTTGAAATCATCAGCGACCGGAGATTCTACCAAACACTTGTAGTACTCCCAAGCTATATCTTTCGATGGTACCTTGCAGTTATCCAATGCTTGCTCGAGGCTCGCTGTATCCTTACCTACCTGTTTAAAGTCCCGTTTGATCTCCTCACGCTTAAAACGAAAATGATAAGATGAAGATCAATATTTTCAACCGAATCGATACTGTCTCCTTACATCGAGTTGATTGTTCTTGGTGATGTAACGCAGTCCTTTCATTATGCACTCGGTGTGTCTTTTGAAAACATCATCATCCAAAACTTTATACTGCCTGATCTCGCAAAGCTTTTGACGATCGTTAGAACCTTCCGGGTAAAATTTATCCTCGCAAAACACAAAATAGGACTGGCCCTTCTGTCTGATCTGACCATTCTGTTGAAAATTAAAATTAAAAATCTATGTACAACTTTGGCTCCAACAAACTTTACCAACTTCTCGTAGATCTTTGTAGTCAGTTCCTTATTTCCATGGAACAAGTTTTTACTTGTCGTCTTATGATCGTTGTGCACCTTGACATAGGCATTGAAAACAGCCGTACACTCATTATCGGTGTTTGGTAGCTGTTGAACTGCTTTTATGAATTCATCCACTTTGCTCTTAGCTGCCGAATTCGGATACTCTTCCGACTGTTTCTTGATCACATCCGCCTAAATCAAATATCAAGTATCGAAACCTACGCAATACCGTTAAATACAAAACAGGAAACGCACATCAAATTTCCCAGTAGAAGGATTGTACAACCCCGTCTTGTCCAGAATGCACTTCGCAAAGCAATGTGTGGCTTTATCGCCTGCCGGTTCTTCTTCCCATTCCTTCCATTGTGCCAAAGTCGGTAGTCTACTGGCATCGTCTTTCAAGTTGTCTTCCATGCAGCGGGTAAAAATGAACAGCATCTCTTCCGGGTCAAAAGGAGCCTGCGATGCAACCTGCACAGATGAAATAATTTTCATTATAAATTTTACACGCAGTGACTTCGATATCCTACCGTGGAAAGAAAGGCAGCAATTACGACGAACGTTGTAAACCCCATGTTTGCTTCTGTATTCAACTGACATGTAGAAGCGAGCATTCCCTTGCTTTTATGTTACTCTGATGGCTACAAAACAGATGTATTGTTCAAATAAATAAAAAAAAACAGTACTGTGATAAGACATTGAATAGTTACATATTACTATAAGGTTGATTTATAAGCAAAATGATGGATGCAGGCTGTGCAAATTTTGTGGCAGATGTGATCATCTGGCATGCTTGGCCTTTGAAAATATTAATGTTCATCCAACTTGTGAGCTATCTTACTATTTCCTAAGCTGAGCTAATAAAATTATCAGATTATGAAGAATATTAGAATAGAAGGATTAGGCTGAATAGTTACCAATTAATATTAAGTAACAGAAATGTGTTCATCTGTAGTGTAGTAAATTATTTATTAGTTCGTTATTCGTAGAACATTTTTGAAGTATTATTTTTGGTATTTTACCTTTATTGTCAGGCTCATTTGTTGTTCAATAAGTTGAGAAGTTGTGTTCAATAACAGAAGTTGTGTTCAATAACAGATTAATAGCTTATTATGCTATCAAAGCATAATTTCTATTGTTATGATATTTTGGTATCATGAGTTCAAGAGCTAATTTTGATTTGATAGCAGAATAAGCTATTAATATATCATTAAATTCATTCATTTAAACACCATACCAAACGCTTGATGAGATATAATTGCCAAATGGGATTTAAATTTGCCATAATTTTCGCTATTCTTTAGATATGGCAACAACTGACTTTGCTATTGCTCAGCTATAGTCCCGATGATTATTTGATATTATTTTTGATATTTTACCTATATATCGATCGAACAAAATAATAGCACTTTTTTATGATCTCTTCCCCAATGTTAACAGTAACACTTGATTTGATATTCTTGCCAAATCGAGTCTAAATGAAATTGCCTCCCGAGCAAATTCTGGGAACAAGTTTAAAACTAAAATGGATGTTTTGATGTCGCTGGAAATCGATTAAAATATCAAAATTTATCGATTAAAATATCAAAATTGAGAGCATAAAAATCTTCTTGTGACATTACATTGAAAACTAATTCTGTTATCAGTGCGAGCAAACTGAAAACTCAATATGATTTACATTTTTCCTGTCGATAGCAAATCAAGAATTCAATTTGATCCTCTGCTAAGGCAATGAAAACAAAACTGCAACAACATATTTTTGAAGAGCAAAATTTGTTATCAAATCTATCACTTGCGTAAACTGAAATCAAATTATGATTTCAGTTTGATGTTGATATCAAAATTTGAATTAGAACTGCTGGAATTTACTCGGGTTATGAGACTAATTTCTTTGAAACTAGATTCCATTTTCAGAAATAAAAACAAAACAAAAATACAAGCTGAAAAAAATATCACAAATTGTTGTCACCAAATTAAAATAAAATATGTACAATAACAAAATAGTACATTATTAATATTAATAAACTTATTTTTGATAAGCTTTTAATTATCAAAAATGCAAACTTTCCTGAAATTGACACAACGGGCACTTCAAAATTGGCTAAAATCGTAGAAAATAAACTTTTTTTTGACACCGAGGGATGGCAACCAAAGGGCGACTACGATCGTTTACTAACGTATGCGTGATAATGTTTGCACCATTGAACAATGTCAAAATTAGAAAAATTCTCAAAAATTTCGTTTTCGAGTTTTTTTTTTATTTATTCAAAGGGGGTGTTTCTCAGAGTCTTAAACTATGTTTATCATCGATCGAGTTTCCACTTGCTGCAATTACGGTCCTCCACATGCTTCCGAAATGCACGGCAGGTTCTAATAATGTAGTCTGGATCCATTTATTTCCAGGTACGGGTCAATGTTTGTCTGAAGCTTGCTGTACTCAGGTGGATCGAAAACAGCGAACAAAATGAAGAGAGGTGAGAAATCCGACAGGGTGGCGTTTAGAACAGGCCTTCATGACGCGCCATATTGAGTAATCCAGCGGATTAAGATCGAGGCTGGATGGCGGCCACATATTCTTCGCCCAGAACGGAAGATGTTCCTGCAACCACTTCTTAGTGCCGCTCGAGGTGTGGCACGGAGCCCCATCTTATTGAAAAACAACATTTGGCTTACTGTTCTTTGATCCACGGAAGAACATACTTACTTAAAATCCCGATGTAGACCTCCGTGTTGACCTTGTCGCCTCCTGGAATGAACACCGGGTTCATTGTTTTGCCATCGGAAGCCACCAATCCAAACACCATAACGCTAGCAGGATGCTTGGTCAGATACACGTTCTTGTGCTCGTCGGCCACGTCTTTTACCGGAAGAGAACTAATATACCGGTTGGTTCTGGAATTTGATACGTGATCGACGGTAAGCATGCTCTCGTCGGTGAACAGGATTACCGGATTTTTTCGCTTAAGGAAGTTCAAGATTTTCTTGCAGCGTTCGACTCGTAGCTCCCGGATGCGGTTGCCGTAAAGTCACTAATCCCGTGTTCCATTGCCATTTTCCTTATTGAACGCACTGGATTCACCCGAATCTTCTTTTTGACAGCAGCGATAACCCTCGGAACCCGAGCTGACTTCGGATGACCTGTGGCCACCTTCGCGGATATTTGTCCTTTCTTATCTCGGTCTAAAACCCTTTTGACGGTCTACCGGGACACTACCACGGCGATTGAAATGTCTTTTTTGCGACATTTGCGCGTGGGACAAATCACGAATACGCTGCCACTTCGTCATGGTGCAACTGTCAAACTAAGTAAATCATTTTCTTTTATACACAGCCTACTACGGTATGAGCTATTGGCGTTGACGGCACCGTTGAAAAATCGTCTCTTCTAGCAAACATTGACAGTATCTTCCGGGAATTTTCGGTGGAGTAAAGAAATAGTACAAAAGTCGCCATGTTTCACGCACAGTCTGATGTTTGCTTACGTGATTTTCCATATGAGTAAAGAGCTACAGAGTCACCATCAACGCCAATAGGTTACGTGCATGCAAAGAAAACCAAGGCATTGTATGCACAGAGAACTTTATTTGTATGATGGTGCAAACATTATCACGCATACGGTCCAGAGCTAGGATAGAAGGGTACTTATTTTGGCAAAGATATTCAGATTGTATAGTTGACAGTTTAATAGAGAATTTCTTTACCAGTACATAACATATGTGGAATTTCATGCAAAAAGCTGACTCAAATCTGACCTCTTTTTTGTTTTGCCTCAGTGGTATAACTTTAGAAGAAGAGGTGACAATTGGCTTCTTCCTCTTTTATTTCTATCTCTATCTCTATCTTTATATATCTCTATCTATATCTTACGCACATGAAATCGGCCAATCAGGAGCTGGTTCACTTCCCAAGTAACATTGAAGGTTTTATCGAGGTTCTATAGCATTCTACAAGTCTAAATCATGGTCTACAGAACCCTCATAAACATTCGAAAACCCGGTAAACCCGCGTCGGATTATAACTCGTACCGTCCCATCGCGATGCTGTCCTGTATACGGAAATTGTTGGAGAAAATGATTCTTTTTCGTCTAGACAAATGGGTCGAGTCGAATGGTTTACTTTCAGATACGCAATTTGGATTTCGGAGAGGCAAAGGAACGAGCGACTGTCTTGCGTTGCTTTCAACTGAAATTCAACTGGCCTATGCGCAAAAACAGCAAATGGGTTCAGTTTTCTTGCACATTAAGGGGGCTTTTGATTCTGTTTGTATCGATGTCCTTTCAGATAAACTCCACGATAGTGGGCATTCACCAATTATGAACAACTATTTGAGCAACTTGTTGTCTGAGAAATATATGAGCTTTTCTCATGGAAACTCGACAACTTCACGAATTAGTTACATGGGTCTCCCCCAGGGCTCATGTTTAAGCCCCCTTCTTTATAATTTTTATGTAAAAGACATTGACGGTTGTCTTGATGAAAATTGCTCGCTAAGGCAGCTTGCAGATGACGGCGTTGTGTCCGTTATAGGGCCAAGTGCACCGGACCTGCAAGGACCATTGCAAGATACCTTAGACAATTTGTCTACTTGGGCTATGAAGCTGGGTATCGAATTCTCTCCGGAGAAAACTGAGTTGGTTGTTTTTTCTAGGAAGCATCATTCTGCACAGTTACAGCTTCAACTAAAGGGTAGAACAATCACTCAAAGTATATCTTTCAAGTATTTAGGTGTCTGGTGGTTCGATTCCAAATGCACATGGGGAAAACATATTGCGTATCTGAAACAAAAATGCCAACAAAGAATCAATTTTCTTCGTATAATTACCGGAACATGGTGGGGAGCACACCCGGAAGATCTGATCAGGTTGTACCGAACAACCATCCTTCCGGTTTTAGAGTACGGCAGCTTTTACAGCCTAGCGCAGCAAAAACACACATTCTTAAGCTGCAACGGATTCAATACCGTTGCCTTCGTATTGCGCTAGGCTGCATGCACTCGACTCATACGATGAGCCTCGAAGTACTCGCGGGTGTTCTCCCACTGACAGATCGTTTCGCTGAGCTGTCTTTCCGGTTTCTCATCCGTTGTGAAGTATTGAATCCTTTGGTAATAGAACACTTTGAGAAGCTGCTCGACCAAAATCCTCAAACAAGATTCATGAGTTTGTACTATGAGTACATGACGCTGGAGGTTGGTCCTTCTTCATTAATCTCCAATCGTGATTGCTTTCAAGCCTTCTATAGTTCCTCTGTAAATTTTGATCTGACCATGATGCAAGAAATCCATGGAATAGCAGATCACCATCGGTCGATGGTTGTTCCCTCAATTTTTGCAATCAAGTACCACCATGTAAGTAACGATAAAAGATTTTTCACAGATGTGTCAACCAAAAATGCTTCCACTGGATTTGGTGTATTTAATCAATTTCATAGCGCCTCCTATAAACTACAGAAACCATGCTCCGTATACGTTGCGGAACTCGCAGCTATATTTTACGCAGTAGAGTGAATTGCCTCACTACCTTCTGACCATTATTTCATTTTTACGGATAGTCTTAGCCGATGAAGCACTCCTCGTATTTCCTGCCTGAAATACGAACTAAACTGAGTGCT